CTTGGGTGTTCCTCTCCTTAGAGAGGTCTCCCTGCCCCCAAATGACCATTTTCTAGGAATTCATACCTTCCAGCTTCAGCATCTTCAGTCTCTAGGGAGTCATCCTTCCCTCCCCACGGGCCTCTCCTTTTGCCCTTCTTCCTGGTCCCTAACATCCCTTCACAAAAGGTAACCATTATGATGGTGAGAATTGCATTACTCTAAGGACCCTTCTGAGAAAGATTGGAAAAGCCTTTAATCCCAGCACTCAGGAGGCAGAGGCAGGCAGATCTGTGAGTCTGAGGCCAGCCTGGGCTACTACATGCAAGCTCCAGCCAAGCCAGAACCACATAGTGGAATGGTTAGCTGCAGTGGCCTCCTTTGATTCAAACCACTTAATTATATATATATATGTCTTGAGATTGTATTCATTTTTATTTTATGTGTCTGTGTGTTTGCCTAATGTATACAGGTATTACAACTCCTGCCTGGGTCTAAAGTTATGGACGGTAGTGAGCTGCCATGTGGGTGTTGGGATATGAACCCAGATCATTTGGAAGAGCAATCAGTGCTCTTAACCACTGGGCCATCTCTCTACCCTCTTACCCTTTATTTAGACCTAAAGCCCAGTGGGACATCGTGACTCATACATGGTGCAATCCCAGTTCTCTGAGACTGAGGCATAGGATTGCTAGAGTTTGAAGCCTGGGCTACAGAGGACAAGACTCATGGCTTCTTCATTTTCAAGCACTGAATTTGTTCCAGACAGAGCTGGGCAGAGTTCAGTGGCAGAACACTGAGCTCTCTATGGTTTTAGTCCCAGCACTGCCAAGAAAAAAAAAAAAAAAAAAAAAATTACACATGGTTGAGAACATGGATGCCAAAGTCCTGGAGGCAGGTGTTGCTTTGATAAGGGATGATAAAAAAAAACAAGTTCTAAATATCTGTTGAAATAAGTGAATGAATGAATGAATGAATGAACTGGCGGGGCTGTTGAAACAAGTATTCAACTACACAACTCTGGAGAGGACAGAAAGTTTTCAGAACTATAATGGAGGAAATGTTTAAAATGGTGAGTAGAGTATCTGATGTGAACTATGAGAGCAGAGAGAGCTCCAGGCCCCGGGGTTCTGGAGAAAGAGAAGCTTCTTAGTGCTGGGGGACTGTGAGCCAAAGAGGAGATGAAGCTGGAGGGGAAGGTAGTTACTACGAAATAACCTGTTAGGCTGTTAGTCCATGACTGGGCATAGTGGTAGATACTTAAAATCTCTAGCACTTTGGGAGGAGGGCCTTGAATTTGAGGCCAGCCTGGTGAAATCCTGTCTCAAAACAAAACAAACATATATGTGTGTGCATCCACACCTTCTAGCTTCAGAAGCTTTATTTAGTCCTCCCCCTCTCAATTATGTATTACATATTGTATGAATAAACCATTTATTGAAATTTTCTTTTTTTTTTTTTTTTTTTAGTTTTTTCAAAACAGGGTTTCTCTGTGTAGCTAGTAGTCTATAGACCAGACTAGCCTTGAACTCACAGAGACGCCCCTGCCTCTGCCTCCTGAGTGCTGGGATTAAAGGCTTGCAACACCAAGCCAGCTGAAAAAAAATATTTTTAAACTACCTTTGAAATAGACACTTAGAAACTGCTTTTTGCTTAAAAAAAAAAAAAAAAAAAAGCATTGGCTCCTCGAGTCTAAAAGGTACCTAAAGCTGAATGACAGCCTAGCATTTCTACCTCACTTTATGCCTGTACAGACAAATCACTGTCCTTCCTCTTCCTCTTGAGACACCCTGGATTCCTGGAACAGCAGAACTTCTCAGGGCAGACCCCTACACACAAACACCAAGAGGAAGGCCATTCTCCAGGAGTGGGATGCAGATCAATCTTCTGGAGCAGAAGCAATCATCTTCCAGATTGCTCCCTCAGGGATGCTAGTGATGGCAGAGTAGCAATTTGCAGGATGCCCGACAGTGATGGGCAAGACCACATCTTGATCAGGACTGCTTAATTATGCATCCTTGCCCTCTATTTAAACCTAAAGCACATGTCAGTCCTCTAAGTCAGACTTGAGGTCAGTGGACTCCTATTTCTTCTTCCCAACTTAGCCATATTGAATAAATCTCTCTCTGCATTTTAGTGTCTCTTTACTTGGCTCACTGAGACACTGGAGACAAAGTGTGGCTCATGGTTCTGCCCTAAAAACTCTAGTTACCTTTTTTGTTTTTTGACACAGGGTGTCAATATGTTACTCAAGCTGGTCTTGGATTTGAGATTCCCATGCCTCAGTTTTTGAAAGACTGGAGTTGCAGGCATGCACCTGGTAAATTTCATTTTATTTTAAATCTATTTATGTGTATGAAGGTTTTGCGTACATGTGTGTATGTGTACCACAGGCATGGCTGGTGCCCACAGAAGTCAGAAGAGGGTGTCTGATCCCCAGGAACTGGAAGTAGAGATGGTTGTAAGACCCCATGTGGGTGCTGGGAACCAAACCCCAATCCTCTACAAGAGCAAAAAGTCTCTCTAGGCCCTTATTTTATTTTTTGAGACAGGACTCATTGTAGCCCAGGCTAGCCTTGAACTTGCTATGTAGCTAAGGATGACATCTGATCCTCCTGCCTCTACCTCACAAGTCCTAGGATTACAGACATATACCCTAAAACCATGCCTGGTTTTTATGTGGTCCTGCGAACTGAAACCAGGAACCACCCTACCAGCTGAGCTTCATCTTAAGCCCACTGGCAAAATGTTTTGTTTGTTTTAAGATAGGGTCTCACCATGTAGCCTTGGCTGGCCTGGAACTCACTTTGTAGACCAGGTTGCCCTTGAACTCACAGAGATCCACCTGCCTCTGCTTCCTGAATGCTGGGATTAAGGGTGTTTGCCCAGCTCATTTATTTTTGTTTTTTGTTTGTTTTTAAGACAGGGTTTCTCTGTGTAGCCTTGGCTGTCCTGGAACTCACTCTGTAGACCAGGCTGGCCTCAAACTCACAGAAATCCACCTGCCTCTCAATGCCTTCATTTGTTTTTTTGAGACAGGGTCTTAAGTAGCCCCAGACTGGCCTGGAATTCAAAAGTGCAGCTGGGATTACTGAGGCCAGACAACCCCCTGCTCTTTAATCACTGGATAGATTACAGTTAGAAAGACCAATCTGGGGGAGTCAGTGCTCAGAGGGTCACTGGAACTCAGCCAGCAATCTGAAGAGGAGGAGAGGGAAGGGCTGCTTCCTGCCTTGCACCAGGAGGGGCAGGAAGTTTAGAAAGAGTATGTATTTCCATTAAGTTAAGCAGAGTTGTGGATGCCAGTGAACTTGCTCTGGAGAGCAAGAGTCGGACTGGGAGAAGAATGTTGTGAGAGTTCCATGAGCTGGCCTGGCAGTGGTGGCTCACACTGCCCAGCACTTGGGAGGCAGAGGACAACCAGAGCTGCTATACAGAGTACACAGAGAAACCCTGTCACAAAAAAAGGAAAAAAAAAAAAAAGTTCTGTGAACTAAGGGAGCAGACCAGAAGTAGTGGGAACAGTAACCAGTACTGGTAAGCCTATGAAAGAACACAGGACTTCCATTAGAAAATGCTGGCATCCCAGAGCAGGCACTTAACAATGAGGAGATGAACTGGTTTCCAGAAGGTCACACCGGAGTACAACATTTTACAAGGCTGATTGACTTCGATGATGGCAGAGCTAGAATGTGGCAAGTCTAGAGTCACATTATCTTGGGCTCTCTTTAACCCTCTAAATAGCTATTTACTGCCATCTCTGTTTTTGACATAGGCATGACCATCAGGGAAAACCCATTCTGGAATGTGCACACAGACTCCTTGCTTCCCTCAGCCCAAAGGCTAAGAATGTCATTAGATCAGGGGCTGGAGCCCTGGCTCAGTGGCTAAGAGGGCACTGGAAGCCTATACAGACATTATCTGCTTTGCTGTTTCCACCAATATTATATTTTGTTTTAAGACAAGATATCAGCTGGGGTGGTAGTGGTGGTGGTGCACACCTTTCATCCCAGCACTCGGGAGGCAGAGGCAGGTGGATCTCGGCAAGTTCGAGGCCAGCCTGGTCTACAGAGTTCCAGGACAGCCAGAATTATACAGAGAAACCCAGTGTTGAAAAAGCAAAAACAAAAACAAAAAAAAAACAGAACAAACAAACAAAAAACCCAGTAACTTTGGACATTAACACATTTCTAGTTTCCTACTAGGTAAACTAGATTACTAGTTCCCTCATATGGAATATGGTAACAGTTACCTAGGTTACTTTTCAGGGACCTGAAGGTCATCCATGGTTATATAGTGAATTTGAAGCCAGACGAGATCCTGTCTTAAAAAATGAACAAGCTGGGGCTGGAGAGATGGCTCAGCAGTTAAAAGCAGTAGCTGCTCTTCCAGAGGTCCTGAGTTCGATTCCCAGCACCCACATGGTGGGTCACAACCCTCTACAGTGGGATCTGATACCCTCTTCCATCATAAAGACATATATGCAGATAGAGCACTCATATACAAAGATAAAATCTTTTTTAAAAAATGAACAAGCAAAAGCCCTCCAAACTGTAACTCAGGGTTAACTTGACTTAACCTTGGCTTCTGCTTCTCTTCTTCCTCCCTCCAATGCTAACAACCTGCAGCTGCCATGAGGGAAACACAAAATAAGAGTGGGGAAGGCCTTGGGACTTAACTAGCCTGGCTCTATCTCATCATCCACCGTGGCGGACATATGGATTTCCTTGTGGAGGATGGGAAAGCACTGAGCTACGGTATGCAGATCAGGCTGGCTCATTATCCTCTTACCTCTGGCACATCCAGCTGATTTGTGAATGAAATTCCCTCTTCTACATTCTTTTGTTTGGTTTTTGGTACTTGGTACTCCATATAGATTTTAGGATTGCTTTTTTCTAGTTCTGTGAAGAATGTCATTGGAACATTCATGAAAATTGAATCTGTCCTAAGTAAGATAGCCATTGTGTGTGTGTGTGTGTGGTTTTGTTTTGTTTGGAGGTTTCGTTTTTTTTTTTTTCCAGAATGGATAAATTTATTAGCAACCTTCCTTAGTACATAGCACAAATACCCATATTTTACCAAAATGTTAAAATAGAAAAGTACACAAAGCAAATAATATTGTAATCAATAAATAAGCCAAAAAAGGACCATAATCAAAGCAGTTAAAACAGCTAAAATGTACATATTACATTCTCCACAATTACTGTAATGAAGAAAATGCTCATCTAATGTACACTGAGATTTCCTCTCTGCCCAGTGTCTACACTCAAGATCCTAAACAACAGCAAACACTGAAGACCATGCAGGAGAAGAACACAGAGACACGTGTCAGTGGGAATCCAACTCATGGCAGCCTCCAGGCAAGTCAGTGTGCAGTTTCTTTTTCTTCTGAACATAAAAACAGGTTATAATTCAAAAGTCCAGCTTACTTTAAACAGTAAAATATTTTCTCTGTAGAAAATAGTATAAATGATAACATTTCCCAATAAGCCCTTCTAAGCCAAATGATAGCTGAATCATACATATAAATATCGATTAGATTCTGGGATACTGAAGAAAGCTATCTTCATCTGTTCAGAGAGCTATCTTTTACTTAAGTTGTGTAAGTGAGATTCCTATTCTTCCCCTTCACCGTTTGATTTACGGCAGACATTTTTTCTATAGGCTCATCCATAATCTAAAAAGATTAAGATAGCCATTTTTATAATTTTTTTCCCATCAATTCATGAGCATGGGATGTCATGCCATCATCTAGTGTTTTCACCAAGGTCTTTTTTCCAGTGTTTTAAATTCTTGTGGAAATCTTTTACTTCCTTGGTTAGGTTTATTTCTAGGTATTTTAGATTTTCTTTTGAGACACTTGAAAATGGGGATTGATTTCCTGAATTCTTTTTCAGTATCTTATTATTGATATTCAGAAATCCTACTGACTTCTGTAACAGTGGTTAGCCCTAAGCAGAGTTAGTGGTCATTATCTCTAGGGGTACTTAAAAAACAACCTAAAACACAATCTTTTTGTTTGTTTGTTTTTTGAGACAAGGTTTCTTTGTGTAGCCTTGGCGGTCCTGGAACTAGCTCTGTAGACCAGACTGGCCTGGAACTCAGAGATCCACCTACCTCTGCCTCCTGAGTTATGGGATTAATGGTATGGACCACTAGCACATGGCTAAAACATAATCTTCAAAAGCATACTGTCTGCCCTGGAAATGCTGTCTAAAAATCAGTCTTTTAATGGCACAGGCATTACATCTATGCCTGGCTTACTACTGTTGGAGCCACCAGTAGGGCAAAGGCTACAAATCACATAGTGCGGTTATTCATAAAGTCATCCATAAAACTTATAAAGATTAAATGAACTAATATAATTACCACACTTGAAACACTGTCATGGACATGAACATTACATATTACCTAGTACTTTTGTGGTGATTTGAATGAAAATAGCCCCCAAAGGCTCATATGATTGAATGCTTAGTCCTCAATTGATGGGACTGTTTAGGAAGGATTAGGTGGGCTTTGAGTTTTCAAAAGCCCACACCAGGCCCAGCCTCTCTCTCTCTCTCTGGTTGCTGTCTGTGAATCAGGATGTAAAGCTCTCAACTACTGCTCCAGGGCCATGCTGCTCTGCTTCCCACTGATCTTGGACTAACCCACTGAAACTGTAAGCAAATCCCCAATTAAATGCTTTCTTTCTGCTAGGTGGTGGTGCGGTGCACACCTTTAATCCCAGCACTTGGGAGGCAGGTGAATCTCGGAGTTCGAGGCCAGCCTGGTCTACAGGGATAGTTCCAGGATGGCCAGGGCTACACAGAGAGAAACCCTGTCTCAAAAACAAACGCTTTCTTCTATAAGTTGTCTCAATCATTGGATCTCTTCACAGCAAATAGAACAGTACCTAAGACAACTTTACTAGAAATATTGCTCTCTAGAACTTCTCAATAGGGAAGAGAAGACAAAAAAGAAGGAATGATCTGAGACCATACAAGAAACATAAAGATGCCAAGGTCATACTGTATATAGGTCTTACCTCTCCTGTGACAAGAACAACCCCCAGAGTGTATTCACTTCGATGGTCAGGAATCCAGTACTAGAGGTCTTTCCATCTCTTTTTTCCACATAAAACCCAAGCCTGACAGAGTATTGTGTCTCACGTCTAAGCAGTAAGATTACCGCGAGTTCGAGGCCAGCCTGGACAATAGAAAAAAAAAACCCCAATTTAAAAAACAAATAAATTAAATTAAACAAAAACCGGAACCCCTAAACCCAACAACCAAGAACCAAAAGCAAAAAGAACCCCGGGGTCCAAGCCAACCCGGGCCAAAAAAGGAAGTCCAAGAAAACCAAGAACAAAAAAAAAACCCGGCCCCAAAAAACCAAAAACAAAAAAAAAAGAAAGAAAATCAACCAAACAAACAAAATCAGGGCCTGGAGACCTGTGAAGGAAATGAAGGACCCATGATACTACATAGTTAGAGGAGGAGCCAAAGCCAGGTCCAGGTGGCCTTGCAGTCTCGATGTCCCCTAGGGGTGGGTGCGCAGCACTAGGCAAGGGAGCTCAGACAAGGAATGTGACCAGCCCAGCGTGCTCTGTGAGAACTACACTACCCAGAATGCAACTGGAAAGGAGCAGCTGGCCTTTCCGCCCGTACTAGTGCCTCGCAGGGAGTTTCATTGACTTCCGAGCTCCCTTCTCCTTTCTGCCACCTCCCAACTCTTGCAGCCTAGCTGGGGTCTGCGAGGGGGAGTGACCTCGAGGAGGCCCGCGAGAGTCTTCCTCCTTTACTTCCTATTGGTCCAGCTCCGCTGTCATTCGGGAGCGAGGGGAACTTTGCTTCCTGATTGGTGAATTCCGTTTGGCGCCAACTAGGGAAGGGGCGGGGCGGCGGCGTTCCTAGCTGTGCAGCACTTAACGCTAGGGCCACTTTGGTGGTGAGGGAGGTGTGGGTTGCTTCTCGGCCCTGTCGGGGACCGAGCAAGGAGGGAGAAAAAAAAAAAAGTGAGGAGAGTGAATCGGGGGTGGGGGTGGGGGGGTCGCCTCGAGACTCTCGCCCCGCGGAGTTTGTTTGGATTTAATCTCGAGGTTGCAGGCGCCCGCCCGCCTGCGGCCTCGCGGCGGCCTAGAGGGAAGCACCGGTGCTTGTGGCCGGCGCCTGCCGAGTCCCCGACGCTCGCCTGTCCGCGCCGGTGCCCGCGGCGGTCGCGTCTCTGAACCGCGGGGTCGTGTTTGTGTTTGACCCGCGGGCGCTGGCGGCGTGGCACGCGGCTGAAGCCGGTGCCAGCGGGGCGGGGCCCGGCGCAGCGGAGGCGGAGGAAGACGGAGCGGGAGTCCGGGCTGGCCCGGCGGCGCCATGGAACTGGGCCCGGAGCCCCCCCACCGCCGCCGCCTGCTCTTCGCTTGCAGCCCCACTCCTGCGCCGCAGCCCACGGGGAAGGCACTGTTTGGCGCGTCGGCTGCTGGCGGACTGTCCCCTGTCACCAACCTGACGGTCACCATGGACCAGCTAGAAGGGCTGGGCAGGTGAGAGACCGGCGAGCGATGCCCCAGGCCACCGGCCTCTGATCGGCCCTCGGGATGGTCAGGCAGGAAGCAGGGTTTGTCCAGCTGGCCCTGATGCTCCGATCCGGGATGGCCTGGCCAGGGCCGGCCATGTGCACCCTCCCCCCCGGGCAGAATGTTGGGCGGGAGAGGCCGTTCGGATAGTCCGGGACTATCCTCAGCCCGAGCCAGACCGGGGGGCCGGGGAGGCTGCTGGGCTTCCTATCTTGTTCACCGCTTTCAGATTTCTCTGTACTCTGTCTCTATTCCAGGGAGCTCTTTGGAATCTACCCCCACGGGGGGAAAATGGGCCCTCCTAGGCCCTCACTTCTACTGTACTGAACAACCGCGCCGGATCTTAGTTTCCTGTAAGCTTTGTTCCTTCTCAACAAAGGGACATGGCATTTTCTTTTCTTGCATTTGTGCAAAATCTATGCAGTCACTTGGCCGGCACGTTTCTTATAGCTACCCGTCTCCCTTCTTATAGCTAGCCCTTTTTACTTAATTTTCTATATTGGAAATCTTTGAGAACTTAGTAGGCTGCCCTACACCACTACCACCAACAAAAACACATGCCACTATTTTTAGTGAAGTTACTTTTCTTCCGGTCCTGGGCATCTCCTTTTCTAAACATGTCTTAGGATTTTTCCAGCCCCTGAAAAGCTGGGATTGCTGTCCTACTCACCTTTGCCCTTATGCCCAGCATAGTACCTCAAAACAAGGCTCTCACTTAAGGAAACAACCCAGCATTTGCCACAGTCATGTCCTACAATGTGGCCCAAGGCCAGATCCACTCCTTTCGTTGTTCAAATACCAACTGGGTATTATGGGTGGCCAAGTGTGAGTGTGGGGTGTCCTTGGTTTCTTATCAGAATGGTAGTTTGTGGCAGCCTGGCTACTTTATGACCCAGCTCCCTGGGTGTGACTTTTTAATTATGTCCTAGAAATTGCTCATGTGACGGTATTTCTCTTGGTTTCAGTGAGTATGAGAAGCCAATGGAGGTGAAAAACAGCAGCAGTCTACAGAGAATGGGCTCCTCCGAATCGACCGATTCAGGTATTGTTATTTATGAGTGTGTGCGCATATGTATTCAGTTGCCTGCCAAGATCAGAAGGCTTTAGAGCCCCTGAAGCTGGAGACTTACGGGCCATTGTGAGCTGTCTGATTTGGGTGCTGGGAACTGAAAATTGTCCCCTCTACAGGAGCACCAAGTGCCGTGAACCACTGAACATCTATCTCTTCAGTCCCTTATTTTTTAAAATTCAATTTATTTATCTTGAGACAGGGTTTCACCATGTAGATCACTTTGGCCTCTTACCTCTCGAGTGCTATGGTTAAGGGTGTAAACCACCATGCCCTTGCCCGATCCAAGGATTTGTTCAATCTTCACCATTCATCTTGAGCCAGCCATGTGGGGAGCAATATTGGGAATTTCCTGAATCATGTCTTTTTCCTAGGACCTTAACTGGTGACAATCCAATAGAAATCATGATTTGGAGTGACATACCCTTCAGTCCAGAGGGAGAATAACTGTCAAGTCTTTATTCCATTTCTTTTCGAGAATATTTATTTTTATTTTGTATGTGTGGGTGTTTTGCCTGCTTGCCTCTCATGGTACATACCATGTGCAGCTGTTTCCTTGCAGGCCAGAAGAGGGTGTCAGATTCCCCAGAACTGGAGTTAAAGGCATTAGCAGCCATGTGGTTGCTGGGAATTGAACTCGGGTCCTCTATAAGAGGGGCTGTGCTCTTTTGAACTATCTTTCCAGGACTCTTTTATTTTTTTTTTAAGACATGATCTCACTGTGTACACCAAACTGGCCTGTTGGAACTCATACCTAGCTGGTTGTATTTTTTCATACCCCTAAATTAGCCATATGATTTGAAAAAATAAAATAACTCCACAAAAAGTGTTACAGGTCACTCCTATCTGAAAAGCAGTCAATCTTGATAATAATTGGCTCTTAAATCTTGTTTCTTTTATTGGTATTTGCAAATGGAAGAGAATCCATGGATGTACTTAGAAAATGTTACTTAACAATAGAATGAGCATTATTTCCTAAGAGTTTTGTTTTTATTTCTCAAAGGTTTCTGTCTAGATTCTCCTGGACCCTTGGACAGTAAAGAAAAGTATGTATTTGTTGCTTTCAAATTTTATACTTAGAAGAAAATTTTCCTTAACCAGGTCTACTGACACAGTCTCACCTACTTGGGAAGTTAAGGCAGAGGGATCAGAAATTCAAGGCCTGTCTCAGAATAAAAAGTGAAGGGACTGGAGAGATGGCTTAGTGGTTAAGAGCACTGACTGTTCTTCCAGAGGACCTGAGTTCCATTCCCAGCACCCACATGGCAGCTCACAACTGTCTGTAACTCCAGTTCCAGGGAATCTGACACCTTCACACAGACACACATACAGGCAAAACACCAATGCATATAAAATAAAAATAAATCAATTATTTTTAAAAAGTAAAAGTAAAAAGTGAAGAGCTCAGTGATAGAGTGCTTGTGTGGTGTATGTGAGGCCCTAGATTAGGTTTAATCACTAGAATCACCAAAAAGAAGAGGAAAGAAACTTGTTCATTAGTTTTTGATATTT